GCAGGAGGGGAAGACCCTCTATGAGATGGATTGATTCGGTGACTGGGGTAATCGGGATGGGTGTGTCAGAGGCGGTGCGGTTGGCGCGGGATAGTGCAGGGTTTAGGGCTGTTGTGCATGGGGTCGCTATGAGTCGGAAACGACTTGACGGCACATAACAACAACATCAGTGTTTGCTACTGTTGGCTATGCCATGCTTGAAATCTTTTTGTTGGCTTCCATGACATCACACTTGATTAGTTTTCCTCTCATCTCTAGAGCAGTTTTTAGTGATCCATCTTCTGCCAGCCCGCTACCTGTTGGACTGTGCAGGGGCTCTGACCTCTATTCCCTTTGGTCTTCTATATCCTTGTTCCCCTGTGTGATTTGACTCAGAAGTCTATCCAAATACTAGAGAGTCCTCAGACTGGAACAGACAACAATATCTAGAATACCAAAATAGTAAATCTACTTTGCTTCTCCTTCACTATCCTATTATTGACATAGAGTGATTATTTTAAAGTATAAATCAGACCATGTCATTCCTTTAGCCAAAGCTTTAGTATTAATAATAAGATTATAGATTCTCTTTTTATTTGGGGGAAAAAATTCAAACTCTTTGTCATGACATCAAAATCTGATGTGTTGTTTTTTTGTTTGTTTGTTTGTTTAACAAGGCCTGACCTGTATTCCTAACTAGTTTTCTCTTCTATTAACTCCAATCTCATTCACCTGCTTTCAGTTATATCATTTTCCTGAGCATAAATAGTTTATTCCTACTTTACACTTTTGCTGTAAATGCTTAACACCTTACTTTGTGAATAGTTAACACCTTCTCCTTCATGGCTTAATTTAAATGTGACCTGCTCAGAGAAGCATTCCCTGATCACTTCATATAAAGCATCCATATAATCACTCTCATATACTTCTCTACAGTGTCTTCTCATGTTGACGAAGTTATTAATTTAGTGACAATGTCTCTATAATGAGTGAGTGCTGGATTTTGTCAGATAATTCTCTGCATCAATTGAGGTGCTCATGTGAACTTGTTCCTTCATTATGTTGATGTGGTTTATTATATTGATTGGTTTTCTCTTGTTGAACCAGTCTTGTGTTCCTAAAACAAATCCCACCTGATCACAATGCATAATCCTTTTAGTATACGCTACTATTTTCCTAGTATATTCTTGAGAAGATTAGTTAATTTATATTCATAATACATACTGATTGATACTTTTCTTACAGTACTTTTAGCTTAATTATAGTGGTGGCTGTAAGGGAGCTCTGGTGGCCTAGTAGCAAGAAGCTGTACTGCAATCCCAGAGGTACACAGTTCAAATCCACCAGATGCTCTGCCGGAGAAAGAGGGACAATTTCCTCCTGTACCAGTCAGATCTGATTTGACGGTACATGCACAAAAAATAATAATAAAATAAAATAGGTTTTTTTAAAAAAATAGTGCTGGCTATAGTTGAATGCAATAGCCCATAGGCTATAGTTGAATGCTATATGGGTAATGCTGGTTTCATTGAAAATATTAGAACATATATCCTCCTTGTATAAAGAATGAGAATGAAGTATCTCTTTGTAGTTTTTCTTAACACCCATTCTCAGGTGCTTCTACTCCAGTCCGTGTATGTTTCATATACTATCAATATGAAATTCTAATTCCTTTAAATCCTTTAAAACACTTTTATTATGGTTGCAAATAATCATTTAAAGAAAGATTTTCCAATTGATCTTAAAATACCACTTCAGTAAAGTTGACCCTCAAGGCAGTGATTTTTCCTGAGAAGCTTTCCTGAGGTTGTAATAAGTATTCTTTACCAAACCCTTCAAGGCTGTTCAGCCTGCCTTTCCGTATTGTAAGGGTTTTACATCCTCACTCTGATGTTACTTACATTCTTTGTAATGGCCACTTTAATAAATATATTTCCATTGCTCATAATTCACTTCAACACCTGTCTTATTAATAAAAACTTATCATTATTGTCTGATCTTATTATTTTGGATATGTTTTATGCTGCATAAAAAACCCATACAACAAAAGGTAATTGAGACAAGTACACGTATGTATAATACTCTGTTCTCCTATCATTTATTACAGTGTATGGTAGTCACTTGAATTATGAGTTACTAAATTGACAGAGCTAATAACAAATTAGATTGTATTAGTTTAATTTATATAGCACATTCACAATTTTATAAATTGTGCTTAAAACAATAGAGTATATATGCTAGATTCTTGGTCACTGCAGAGTAATACAATATGATATAAATATATAGATATATCTGTATATATATTTCTGTCTCTCTCTATATATATGTTTGTCTATATATATTCCTCTCTATATATGTATATATATATATATACACACACACACACATATACATATATTCCTCTGTTTCTATATATGTTCCTGTGTGTGTGTGTATTTTTATATTCCTTGGGGTGGGAACAGAGGGGTGAGGATGGGTAGGAGGTAAATCATAGGGTTTCACAATTTGACAACTGGAGGGAGGGGACAAAGAAAATGGGAAAGAGCCAGTAGGGACCTGAAAAGGCATGGTAATGGTGGTTATAGTTCAATGGTGATTAATTTTATATTTTAAAAATTAATATATTTGTTGGGAGGGAAAAATAAGCCTGCCTCTTCTCCTGGAACTCCTAACAACAACAAATAAGGGCTACTATCATATTGCAAAGGGAGCTCTGGTGGCCTAGTGGCGAGAAACTGCATTGCAATCCTGAAAGTCAGTGGTTCGAGGCCACCAGCGGCTCTGTGGGAAAAAGATGGGCAGTCTCCAGCGGCTCTGTGGGAAAAAGATGGGCAGTCTCCCATGCATGTGGTTAACTGCCTCTGCAAACACACCAAAGGGTCAGGTACACAACAACAACAATTGTAATGCAAAGGCGGAGGGGACCCCATGACTCTCCATTTTCAGACAGTGAGAAGTCAGTGAGTGCAAGAAGATAAGAAAGGAAGACATTAAAAAAAAATGAAGACAGGGAAAGGTGTTGAGTTTGCATCCTTTTCCAGTATTTTAACAGTAGTTATAAAACATTTTAGCTAAAATATGTGTATTTTTACCATTGGTTATGTTTCATGTGCTGAAGCTATTGTGTATTTTAAACTATTGTGTTTAATATAAAAATTATTTGTAAGATTCTAAATGTATATCTAAATCTTAAAAGACATCTTAGCTGAAGTTTAACAATATTATCCCATAATTTAACTAGCTTTGTCTTAATTTGAGTTTGGAGTTATTGATCATCTCATGTCTCTTGAGCCCTTTGAGTCAAAAGTTTATTTTTATTTTCACATATTTATTCTCTTTATATTTTTTACTAGTAAGTATACTTTAATATGGGGTATATGATTCGATACTTCAGGTATAAACGATGAATTCTTCTTAAGAGTACATTAAAATGAGCACCCTTCTGCCTCTTTTTTTCTACCAGATACTCTAGATGAATATTTTGAATATGATGCAGAGGAGTTCTTGGTCTCTTTGGCCTTGCTGATTACAGAAGGACGAACACCTGAATGTTCTGTGAAAGGTCGAGTGGAAAGTTCCCATTGCCCTCCAGCACAGTCCTGTTACCCCGTCACAGCCAAACATGAATGTAGCGACAAACTGGCCCAGGTGAGTATCAGATGTCTACCGTGGCTTACTTTTGTATAAACTGCTTCAACTTCTGTTATTGCCATCACTATATCTTAATATTTTTATCTTAATGTCATTTTAAAATTTTAATATAAAACTCATCATAACTTTGAAGAAAAAAGGGAAAGAGCTAGCATAGGCCATAACTGATTGACTTGGCTTTTACACAAGGCTCCTGAAGGCATGGTCAGCAGGCAGGTGAGCAGCCAGTTTTCTACCTGATTTTCTCCACACACACTCCAGAATGAAGATAGCCACTGCTGCTGTAGTTGGTTTTTTTGTTTGTTTTTTTTACTTTCAAATTCTGAACCTTGGCTTCTGTACTTATGTGTTCATTTTCCATCCTGCAAGTGAAAGAATTTTCCAGCAATTATATGCCCTTGGGGATAAATCTGATTCTCAAAATTCTTTTGTAACCATGCATCAGACTCTTAATTTGATTTTGCTTTTGTGAAATTAGTTTATTTAATAAATCAACGTTTGTGATTATTTTCCTCACACTGGCCAATTTTCCTATTGTATTTGTGTTTTAATTTTTTAATTAAGGGGAGACTTTGTGCTATCATTAATATTTTTTAAATAAAATTTTTCTTTTAATTGCAATTTTAACAAAAAGTTAGATTTTCTTGTTGCAGAAGATCAAGGACTATCCTTCAGTACAGATTACATTCTAACATCAAGAAAACAAAAGTCCTCACCACTGGAACAATAGACAGCATTATGTTATATGGAGAAAGAAAGTGTGCCTAATTCAAGCCATGGTCTTTTCAATCACTTGCTGTGCATCTGAGAGCTAGACATTGAATAAGGATGAAAGGCGAAGAATTGTTGTCTTTGAGTTGTGGTGTTAAAAATATAAAAATGAAAATAAAAGTACTGAACATCCCATGGACTGTCAAAAAAACAAACATATATGTCCTGAAGAAAGTGCAGCCAGAGTGGTCCTTGGAGTCAAGGATGGCAAAGATTCATCCCTCATATATGTTGCTAGGAGATGCTATTCCTTGGAAAAGAACATCATACTTGGAAAGATGGGGGCTCAGTGATGGATTTACAAAATGATGGACAATTCACACTTTGTGCAGCAATGGACTCAAGTGTGTCAGAGACCTCCCCAGAGTGTTGAAAAGTAACTCTATCAGTCTAGAGACTAAGATGCACCTAATCCAGGCCATGGTCTCCACAGTTACTTATTATGCTTCAGAGAGAGAACTGGACAGTGACTAAGGATGACAGAAGAATAGATGACTTCGACTTGTGTTGCTGGAGAAAAGTCTTGAACATACCAAGCACTGCCAAGAAAACAAATAGGTCTGTCTTGGAGAGAGTGAAACCAAGTCTCTCCTTGGAGGCTAGGATTTTGAAGCTTCGTTTCACAGACTTTGGGCACATGGCCAGGAGAGACCGTCCTTTGGAGAAGGACATCATGTTCGGGAGGGCAGAGGGGACAGCACAGGAAAGAAAGACCTAGATGAGATGAATTGATACAGTAACTGGAGCAATGGGGGTTGGTGTGCTGGAAATAGTGAGACTGGCTCAGGACAGGGAAAGGTTCAGAGCTGCTATACATAGGGTAGCTATGGATCACAGGTGACTCGATGACATATAACAACAACGTATTATTTTTGTTGTCTATTTAAACCTCTTGTTTATAGTCAAGACCTCCTGGAAGGCTTTTGGATTTAAAAGTTTGTTGTTATTATATTTTGGAAGAACTTCTTCTAAGTGGTACAGCACTCTTCTGTCAGTTTGCTCTACTGAGGTAACCTGGGGTTGCTATGATGCTGTACCTTGTGCCAATGGAGTGTCAAATGCCATAATGGTTACTCATGGAAGATAGTGTTTGATAGAGCTCCCAGTAAAAGACAGGTTTGGAAGCAGGAGTGGCATCCACTTCCTAAACAAAGATAGTTATTAAGAAAGGCTTCCAGTCTTTTGTTCATAGGGTTGCTATGGATCATTCTCCACTCTATGGCAATCAACACAACAACAAATTATTTGCTTTTAAGAAAACTTTGGGGATTTTTTTTTTTTAATATAAGGTTCAAGTTTTAAAGATGATCTCAGAGTATTGGTTTCAGGGCTTCGTCCATTTTTTTTAATGGCTCCAGGAAGTCTAGAATCCATGTTGTTGTTGTTGTTGTTTACCATTGAGTCAGAACTAACCAAGGTGACCCTCCAGTAGGTTTTCAAAGAGTGTTAATTGCACAGGGTTGAGAAGGCCCATCTTTTCTTCCGTGGAGAAGCTGGTCGATTCAAACCATGTACCTTTGGGTTGGCAGCTCAATTCCTTGCCAATAAACTGCCAGAGCTCCCTAGAAAATTTGGAATTCTTCTCTCCATTTCCCCTCCTTTAGACCAAGATTCTTCTATGGACCTTTTAATTAAAATGGTCTGTAATAGTAACTGGGCACTTGCAAATTCTGGTCTCATATCAAAAGAGGCATTTGTCGTTGGAGGCAACTAGCCTCACCTTATTTATACTCCGCCCTCCTGTTCTGACTTTCCTTTGTTTTTCAAAGCAAATAGAGGCAAGTTTTTATGCCTTAGATGGCCCCAAACAAACTTTAAAAATCCTAATCACCATGCGTCAAACTAGTAGGTAGGACAAAAGGCACCAAATATGTTGTTAGGTCAGTTAACTGGAATGTTCTATGAAACCATGACACTAAACTTCCAAACTAAGAATTCACAACCAAATCTTTGAGTTTTTTGGTTGTACCTAATCAGCTACAAGGGAATAATACTTCATGGTTCAAAATCATAAGGGAGTGCATTAGGGATGTATCCTTTCTCCCTAATTTTTCAATCTATATGTGGTGGCTGGGTTCTATGAGGAGGAATGTGGCATCAGGATTGTAGGAAGACTCATCAAAATCCTTCATTATGCATATGACACAATATTACTTGCTGAAACTGAAGAGAACTTGAAGTATCTGCTGCAGAAGGTCAAGAACTTCAGTCTTCATTATGAATTTTATTTCAACATGAGAAAACAAAGATTCTCACCACTGGACCAATAGGCAGCATCATGATAGATGGAGAGAGATTGATATTCTTAACAACTTCATCTTCCTTGGATCCACAGTCAACACTCTTGGCACTAGCAGTTAGGAAATAAGACAAGTTGCTTTAGGGAAGTTGGTTGTGAGGGATCTTGCTCATTGAAGAGCAAGAGTGTCAATCTGGAGACTAAGGTATGCTTGATCCAGGCCATGGTCTTCACAGTTGTTTGCTGTGCTTGCTGGACGATGACTAAGAATGACAGAAGAAGAATCGATGCCATTGAGTTGTGGTGCTGGAGAAGAGTATTGAACATACCGTGAACATCAAGAGAACAAACAAGTATGTCCTAAAGATGATGAAACCAAGTTGCTCCTTGGAAGCAAAGATTTTGAAACTCCCTCTCATTTGATTTGCTTGCTGGCAGGAGGGACCAGTCCTTGGAGAAAGACATCATGCTTGCAACAGTGGAGAGTCACTGCAAGAGAGGAAGAACCTGGATAACATGGACTAACAAACACAGTGACTGTGGCAATGGGGGCAAATATCTCAAAGACAAGTGAGATTGACTCAAGATAGGGCAGCGTTCAGAGCTATTTTTCATAGGGTGCTTATGAGTCTTAGTAGACTCTGCGGTACATAAGAACAGCAATCAGCTGGAGCAGCTACCCATTTTTGTCCTTATTTTAACTTTGCCTGTCACACAACTTTTGCCTTCAACTTTTTAAAAGTGTATAATTTATTGATAGGAATTACAGTTTCTGATTTTGCAACCTTACTCTTAATGCAATTTTCCCAACACTATTTAATGTAATCCTTTTGAATAGATAATATTTTCTAAAATGTAAACTTAAAAATCTCATTTCTTTTGAGTGCTTAATGAGATTGAGGGTTTTTTGTTTTGATTTGGATTGATTTTTGCTTACAAAGTTTGTATACATTGTATTTCACACTAGAGATGTAGTTTTTAATATTTTGTTCTTCATATTTAGAATTATTCTTTTCTCTATAATAGAGAGTAATTAACAAAATTTTCTGAACTACATCAAAAGCCTGTCTAACATTGTATAAGACAGCTCTTTTTTTTCCATGACATTGAGCAAAAAATATCTTCCTCAAAAAATTAATAACCATTGTTCAGTACTGATCTCTGTACTCTACTGCTCACAAGTTAATTCACTATTTATTGAGGGAATTTAAATACCGTGCCTAGCGAAAACTCTGTAATAGATGGGTCATCTCTTATACAGGTGCCTGCCTTACAATTAAATTTTCACATTTTAAAATACAGTGAGTGGTTTATTGCAACAGCTTTTTAATATTCATTATTTCTTTAAGTGTCGTCAAGCCAGACGAACCAGGTCTGAAGTCACATTGTTATGGAAGAATAATCTTCCAATCATGGTGGAAGTGATGCTGCTACCAGACTGCTGCTACAGTGATGATGGGCCCACCACCGAAGGGATTGACCTAAATGATCCTGCGATCAAGCAAGATGCATTGCTGTTAGAAAGATGGATCTTGGAGCCAGTTCCTCGAAAGTAAGTTATAGGGGTTCATTTGCAGTTTTCAGTAAACCTAGTTTTCCATTACTCTTTTGCATTTTTTAAAATAATGACCATGTATTTAAACCCCTCTGTATTTTCTGTTTTACTATTAAAATAACCTTTTCTTTTCGTGTTTAATACTTATGTGCTTCAAAGACGTTGTAACTGTTCCTATGGTTTTAAAAGCACAGATTATTTGTAATATGTGTACTTCAGTTTCTGTATATCTATAATTCAGTCATTTTGCACTTGCTAACATTTGTATTATGTTCTTTACCTCTTGCAGGAATGGCGATCGCTTTATTGAAGAGAAGGCTCTTTTATTGGCTGTCCGCTCATTTGTGTTTTTTTCTCAGTTAAGTGCTTGGCTGAGTGTTTCTCATGGTGCTATTCCAAGAAATATTCTTTACAGGTATGTCTAGGGTAAAAAAATAAATAAATAAAAAATCCATTGCTTACAAGTTGGTTTCAGCTGATAGCATGGTTGGGTTTCTGGAGGTGGTGATTTACAGGAGGAATCTGACCATCTTGTCACCAGAGTAGCTGGTAGAGTTAACCATCTAGTTTATATTCTGATAATTACATACTACTCAACCAAGGCACCTTGGTACAAAACCAAAGGACAGTGTATATTCCGTTATATTGGTGAACTACTGAATGATCTTTTTCCTATTTAGTGGTTTACATTCTTCACCCCTAAATGTAAACTGATAAAATTTACTGTGGTTTTCTCAAAATAAGTTCAAGGAATTTAGATGAGAATCTGTTTGAATTTAGTGTTTGAATTAAATTTTGATGAGCATTTAACTTTGGAGAACCAAGAATGAATTAAGTACTATAACTATAAACTAGAAAATCTTTCAGTCCTACTACATGTCTGTACTGATACACTTAATGGATTTTTCACTTCTTGAGATGTATCAATACTCGGCTTGATAAGCAAATCTAATTGTCTCTCAAGGTGGAGAGTATCTCTTTATTTCTTTGTACAATGGAATTAGCTGAATCTCTGTTAAGAATACAAAGTCCTGTATTTTGTTCATGTTTCAATAAATGATTTTCAATTCTTTTATTCTCAATATTTAATCTTAAATGAACTGACATCTTTAAAAAGAAAGTTTTTATTTCAACCATGACTTGTATCAGAATAACCTGTATAGTGCTGTGGTTTAGTAAAGACCCAGTGATAATTAATATAAATAAATAAACAAAAGGATGTGTCTGTCTTGAAATTTTTGTAGCATACAGTAATAAAGATCTCACTTTATTTTTTTTAAGATCTAACTTTATAATCCGTTGATTCAGTCTTTTTTTTTCTGATTTCAGAATCAGTGCTGCTGATGTAGATTTACAGTGGAATTTTTCCCAGACGCCAATTGAACATGTGTTTCCTGTTCCCAATGTTTCTCACAATGTGGCCTTGAAAGTCAGCGTTCAGTCCTTGCCCAGACAATCTAATTATCCAGCTTTAACCTGTAGTATTCACACAAACATTGGCCTTTATGAGAAAAGAACTCAAGAACATGAACTTAAAACTCATCAACAGCGCAATTCTAATGAAGTAGAACAAGGTACAAACAGTTCACAGCGTCTGTGTAGCAAACAAACTTGGACCATGGCACCTGAAAGTGTATTACATGCAAAACATGGCACAACTCCACAGTATGCTACAACGGTCAAAAATATCAAACTGTATCCAGGCAGTGGCAGTAAATCTGACTATGGAGCATCTCAAGCCAATATTCTGAGCTTTAATGGTACAGAAGATACAAAATCACATGAAACATCAGTGAGAACTTTAAAATCATTTTCATTGATTGATCCAGCTGTCTCTAGTCACCAGAGTTCCTGGCAGTCAGTGAGTGAGACTAATCCTTTAATTGGTTCTTTAATTCAGGAGCGACAAGATATTATTGCAAGAATTGCTCAGCATCTGATTCATTGTGATCCAAGTTCTTCACATGTTTCTGGACATCCATTTAATACACAAGAGTCTAGTTCTCTTACTTCAAAACTTTTCCGAGGTTCACAAGAAAATGAAAATGTAAGAAAATGTAAGGAAACTTTCTCCATTTCTTTTGGTCCTGAGTTTACATCCCCTGAAGACAACAATGAAGGGAAAATTCAAGTCAAGTCAGAAACTCCTCAGAATGAAACTTGCATACCTAATGGTGTTTCTCGTTCAACCTTTGGTGAGACTAATCCTTTGATAGGCTCTTTACTCCAGGAGCGGCAAGATGTTATCGCAAGGATCGCACAACACTTGGAGCACATCGATCCAACCGCATCTCATATCCCCCAGCAGTCATTCAAAATGCATGATTCCCCATTGATTCCTTCTAAAACATTTAGAAGTTCATATGAAGACAAAAATTTATTGAAGAAGAACAGGGATGATGTCTCAGTTTCCATTTCTAGTCCAAAATTTTCATTAATAGAAGACAACAATGAAGGAAAAAACCAAATACCTGATAAAACTTTTAGTCCTTTTAAATGCAATAGTAAAATGAAGTCTTCTTTGAAACCTCAAGTAAAAAGAAATCAGCACCAGGAAAATCCTAGTGAAATCATCCAAAGTACATTTCAGGAAACACAAAATAAAGCTACTTCCTCAAATATGTCCATTTGCAAAGAAAATAGTTTGGAATTGACAAGCAGATTGGAAAATACACTTTCTGGATGTCAATTTAAGGAACAAGACTTTAGCAGTGGAAATGATAAACAGTATTCAAATTCTAACAGTATTGACAAACAGCTTTGTGTAAATAAACATAAGGAGAAAGTAATAAAAAATGAAAATTGCAATCCAGGATCTTTTAACAAACAAACTGACTCTAAAATTAAAGTCACTATGCTGGAAATGTCTGAATATCTACACAAACATGAGAACAAGTGCTCAAATAAAGACTCAAAAAAGCCTAAAAGTACTCAACTTAATAGTATAGAAAATTATTGCAATACAGATAGCAAAAGTTTCAAATGCAAAAAAACAGACCAATTTAAATATGGACCGGGTAAGAACGAAGATTCGTATGACGAAAAATCTCGAAACCATTCTCTGAGGAAGGGGATAAAAGACTGTTTGCCCACATGTGGACGACTAAACAATATAGAAGCATTGGTAGGTAACAGTATTTCAACTCATTCCTAGTCATTTGTTATGCCTTGAGTTTTGTTCACAAGAGATCTAGTTATGAAACTACAGTGCACATTATTAATAAAACTATAAAACTGTTAACTAATATCCTTAAAAATCTAATCTATCCACTAAAGACCCAGTGCTAGTAAAGTAGAAGAAACAAAATCATACAGTTTTAAAAAGTATAAGCTAATAATATGAAAATATTTAAACCATCTATTAGGTCTGCTACTTAGACTCTCTTAGACTATTCTGTTTTTTTACCATCTACTATTTAGATGTTGTTGATTGCCTTCGAGTGGAGAACAACTCATGGCAACCTGTGAAAAAAAGGCCTGTAGCCCCTCTACAACTATCGATATTTATCAAAGATCATAGCATTTCCAGAGGCAGGTTGTTTAGGAAGTGGATGCCACAATATTGGACTTGTGGATTTAGGATAATGAATGCTAAATTTGTTCTTCTTAGTTGCCATCAAATCAATTCTGACTTACAGTGTCCTCATGTGATGCACAGTATATAAATAATGTATTAGTAATACTTAGTTAGATCACATTATAGAGCATTTGATCCTTTTTGGTACCTTCCAGTAGTATAAGTGGTATAGTTGTCATGAGGAAGATGAGAGTTGGAGATTAACTGGCACCCCAATAGCTATAGAAATCTTTAGTAGTCCAACTGACACACATTTGCAAGTCTTTTAATTCTTTTAAGATTCTTTCTGCTCCATTATGAAAGACAAATCTGTGGACAGTCAAATCATTTTAGTATTTAACATTTCATGATGTTCTTTCCTTTTTATTTAACTACTTATGAACAGTTGCGAAGAATAAGTAGGAATCAGTGATGCAACTGATTAGCTTAATATATTGCTTATAACCTAGTACGAAACAAACTGTGCTCACTGAATTACCAAGTGATTTAAGAAATATCTGTAGAGAAATTACTAGGCTGTTTCTCAGAAAACCTGGGCTCTAGATCTAGTTTCATCATTTAGTCTTTGAATGGTGTTGAATAAATCATTAGTTTCTAATAGCCTCAAACCAATAATTCCAAATGCGCTTCCCTTGAAGAGATTCTAAGTCAAGTCTTTCCCAAGACTGTAAATCTTTCTGGGAAGAAACTGAGTCATCTTTTTTTTCGCCTAGTGGCTGTGGGCTCAAGCTGCCAACCTTTCCATTAAGAGTTCAGCGTCAGGGATTTTACATTACTCCATTCTCTTCAGTTTTAAAATAAGAACAATTAAATGTCATAATCAAGTCTGAATTATTTTAATTCATCTATTTTTCACATAAATTACTTTTGCTGCACATTACTGTTGTAAAATTGTGCTGTTTCCAATTTATATTCAGTGTTAATTTCCAATTTCTTAAAATTACAATTGCTACAAAACCTTGCCTTGATTTTAAGAAGGTTTACATGATCCATCCTGAAATTTGACAGGGAGGTATAATCTGGGCATGGCAGATTCTAAAACCACTAAGAATCATTTTTTTCCCTTCATGTACTTGTTTTCAGTACAATGATAACAGCATTTACTATGTGTTTTTACATACGTTAATTCACTTAATCATGTCACTACCCTCGGAGATTTTTATTAATCTCATGTTGTTAATTACCTAAAGCCTAAAGAGGTTAAGTAACTGCCTCAAGGCCGCAAAGCTTGTAGTGGTAGAGCACAACCCAATTTGGTCTTTCTTCATTTTTATTCATGTGTTTTTATGAATTTCTGATCTTTGAGATTAAATTACCCAAATTCCCATAAAGTAGCTGATTTCCTATATTACTTTTAAAAATCGTTCTATGACTTAATTATGCATAGGTATTTTTAAATTCAGTGGGTTTTTCCTTTTTTTTTTCTGGATCACACCCTCACCAAAATTATATCCTCTTTGGGTGACTCTTTTATATTCATTTTTTTTTCCCTTTAATAGATGAACTAGGCTTTTTCCTACCTTTGAATGATTGGGGGTTTCCCCACAAATTGAAAACCGTAAAAATATTTCCAGTAGCTTACTTGATGCTGAATTTTAAATATTTATAAATATATTGATAGATTGTGAAAGGGCAGTCATAAAATGGGGAATGCTTAGTCTGACTTCTGCCTGCTTCATAAAGGAAGACTGTCCTCATCAATAATATCCATAGTACCAAACAAATAGCTACATGATCAGACATGATGCCAGCCCACCCTCCCACCCCATGTTCTTGCTCTTATTTCTATGAATCATTGGGTCCAAGATTTGCTGCAACTTGACTCACAGTTTTTACTCACAGTTGTGGGGTTTATTAGTGAAATAAGTTGGGGAGTGAAGAAGGCAAAGAATATCAAACAATGCATGTCCAGGTTTAGTCCAGCAGTCCCAAGCCAGATTAATACAGCACAATTCCTCAATTAGTGAAAGTCCAGGTTCTTTTCAGCCTCACAAGTATACCTCTCGTTTCCTCACTTATCCAGCAAACTTTATCTCAGAGCAATTACAAGTCAGCTTTTCCTTCAGCCATCCAGAAAGTAACACTTTTAACTGTGGCTCCATCTCCAGGGTTCCTCTGGTTACACTTTGCCACAGTCTCTACACCCTCTCTCCATCACCATCTCTCACACTGCAGAAAGTGTTCTTTTATATTTGTCCTATAGCTGTTGATAATTTGCAAGATTATATGTCAGCAGTTAAGGTAGATGGACACCACACCCCCAGTGGGAGCTTACATTGTGTACTGGATAGAAAAGCCAATGAAGGTTTATGATGCCACAGAGGACAATTATAGTTCAGAGATACTTCCTTTAGAATATTTTATCTGTCATATTACAAGAAAACAAAACTCGGAGTTAGTTTCATGAACACTACTGAATACATACTTATATTCACAAGGTGTCAGTCAGTCTATATTAGTTGTCATTAATTATATTTAAGTATGAGTCTAAAATACAATTTCCTAATACTTAAAGTACTGGATATAAGAATTAAAATCTAATTGTTATCTTAGCAGAGGACGTTACCACTGAAGCAGTCAAATATCTGGCAAAAACATCATTTTCATTCCTTGGATGGAACTTCAACCAGAGCCTTCCATCCTCAAACTGGATTGCCTCTTCTTTCAAGTCCTGTAAGTGCCCTTTCATCTCATGTTCAGTACTTGAAGACACTTGCTTGACATGTTTGAAAATAATTTTATTCATATTTTTGGATTAAAAATAATCTTAAAGTGTTGGGCAAATTTCTATTTGGAAAATATTTTCTTTCGATAACACATTGACATCTAAATAATAATATGGGGGGAAAAGACTAAAAAGGAAATTAATTTTATCCAGATAATATAATTTCTCCTAGTTTTTATTTTTTGTGCCTCAAATTTGAAGTGCTGTTCAATGTAAAGAAAATATTTGAATGTCAACTGGATTTTATGAAAATAGATTTGTTTCTTGTTTTGAAACTGGTGAGCCCTTCCACTTTAGTCATCTAGGAATCATAATTATGATTGGCTTCTTGAAACTTAAGCACTAACTCATCTTACTCAAAAGCATATGTCTCACACATACTAGATTAAAAAATAGATCTGAGTGTGATGGTTAAGAGCACCACTTTGGAATCAGAATGGCTTTATTCTGGTTCTGTGATGTTAAAGAAGTAATACAACCTCTGAGCCCATTTTGTCATCTGTAAAATTGAGATGATAATTCATAATTTCAGTGTTGTGAAGATCTTTCCAACGTGCATGTTGTATATTGATTGATTGTTGTAGTTAATTGCCGTCATTTCATAGGCAACTCATAGAGACCCTATGAACGAAAGGCCTGAGCATTTATGCTGTATATAGTTTTAATTTGGGTCTTTTATTTAATATCATGCAATTTGTATTCTTTAATGCAAAGCAATGTAAATTTGTATTCTTTAATATAATTGGTGACTGAGAATCCAGAGCAATATTTTAAAATATTTATCTGTGAATAATTAGGGTTTGGGTGGATGCTTCAGTGGGGTAGAGATGAACATCTCTCTTTAACCCATTTTTTTCTTCCTTATTTTAAAGTTACAAATGCTTTTGCACCCAAAATACAACTGATGTATATAAAATTAAAAAGTTAAAGTCTTAGATGTTATGGCATTTTGGGATTCCACGCAAGATTTGGTTTAAAAGAATTGTAATTCTGTTTCTTAACTCCTAGTAAAAATACTTTTATAATTA